AAATCCTCGGTGGGATGTCTTCCAGCGAACCAATTTAGCTAATGAGAGTGAATATCAATGACTGCTGGCTAATCAGAATGGTATTAGCATAAATTTTACTTAATGAGGACATATTTGCCTGCTGCCAGGAGCAAAATGGTACCGAGCTAGAGTGTAAAATGCAATGGATGGGTAAGTCTCATCTGGAGGAAAAATAGCAGAGCAAATAAACAAAACTGTATCTGAGGTTACTGCTGCACTAGCACTTTTTATGCAACCTGGGATTTTAACCTCACATGAAGCTTTTCAAACTTTTTCATTATTACAGAATCTTATCCACCCTTTAACTGTGATGAATTAAACACCCTGGGGAACAGCTTGACAAGAGATTCAATTGAACTCTTTTAACCTCATGATGGTAGGTGGATCACTGAAGGAACTTGCTTTCTTTCTAATTTAAAGCACACAATACATGCACTCTGCTGCACAACAAAAGTATGTTTTTCCTTTGTGCATTGTGTAAGTAAGTCTTGTTTCTGAAAAATGCTCAAATATTATGCTTAGCTTCAAAACCAGCAATGTTACATTGCCCTCTGTCTGCCTGTGAGCGATCTCAGGCAGAAAATTCCCTTCGGCCACTATTGTCTTGAAGGAGTTAAGTCCCAGCAGCATCCCAGTGCTGTTGTGCACACTGGGTTTCTTCCTCTCTACACAGGCTCCAGATTAGACTGTCTGAGAAGTCTTGACGAGCAATAAGAAAGATTTTTGCCTATAGCAACATAAAGAGGTTAGAGTTCAATTCTCACAAAATATTTAATCTTGTGAAATGTTATTTGTAGTGTCATTCCTGTATATACCTGCTTTGAAATTCCTAACCTTAGATTCTTCTATGTAAAGGAATATAGGGCACAAGTGTTCTTACCTTTGATATACTATAGGATCTAACAATATTTAACTGGTGAAGTCATTTTTGTTTCCAAACCTGTGTCTCAAATATGCTTGGGAACGTGGAAACTCACAATGCCCTTATTCATGACATCAAAATCAGTTCCATGGTAACACATTGTGATGACAAAATACACAGATTGCAAGGTCACAAGTCACACTTAAGAACAGGCAGGGGAGAAATTGTTAGTTTAATGAATAACACCAGCCAATTCCAATCGGAATAAAAATAAAGAAAAAAATAAAGTGCCTAAAGTAAACACCCTTAAATGCACTTCAGAACCATTTCATCTTAAGTAGTTCTTCAAAGGCAGAATGCTTCCACAGCTTTCACCTCTGTGGCAAATAGAAGCCCACGTTAAAAATTAAAACAAGACGCCGTACGCTAATGATGGCAATAGCAATGCTTTCCCTCTATATGCACAGAGAGAAACAGCAACTGCAGGGAAGAAGCTTTAGAAGAAAAGGACTCATGTTAATTTCGGGCTAAATCCCCCAAAGGAACTCATGATTCTTATGCTTAGCAAAGGCTGGGTTTTCACACACAGTGACGAGCCCACTTTTGAAGCTTGCATTTCTTTGGTCTATAGCCAGGTATTTGAAATATTTCTGTCACAGAAGTCAGCAACGGCAACTGTGGTACAGATATTTCTAATGATTTTGAAGTGATTCCTCCATTGCTTATTTACTGAACACTGTCACAAGAAAGCAATTCAGATTTACAAGATTTTAATGTACGCAGACCACCTCTGAAATTTAAGCTGCAAGGACCCTAATATATGTAGGCATAAGAAATCACTGCAACTAGATCATCACCTGCAGAAGAAGGAGAGGAAGGAGAAACACAAATGAGAAAAATTGCCAGCCCAGTACCCAAACAAATGCCAGACACCTCTAAGTCTTTGACATCGCCATCAGATTTGCTTGTGACTTCTCAGGGTAACGACAAGAGAAATTTGGAGCATTTCAAGGAAATGAACCAGAAAACTCCGTGGTTAAGGGAATGTTCTTGCATATGGCATGTCTAGGCATTAGGTGGTTGGTCCACGAAGTTACTATTCCCTTCTGACTCTTACATCAAAACCTTCTTTGAAATCGTAACTAAAATATATCACATACAATTTGTTTGACGTGACTGTGTCATAAAATTGGCACTGTACGTTCTCTGCTTACCACAGTCTGAAAGGTCAATGGAGAGGATGGATTTCGTTTAACCTCTTGTTTAAATAGCATCTTATTTTTATTAGAAAAGATGTTATTTTTTTTTTTACCATATCATGGCAAACAGCCCTATCCCAATACATCCTTATATAAACAGTGACTGAATAGCCAAAAAACAAATTGCAGCTTAAGCTCTACAAGGAGAACCTCAGATTACTTTTCTTTCCATATATCAGAACAAAAGATTTGATAGATTAGAGCATTTCAAAATAGATCGGGGAGCAGCATCTTTGATTCTATTTAAATGACATAGAATCACTGGATTATTAAAAAAAATGAAGCATGCTTTGGTAAGACATTAACATTTTTAACATATTCTTGCACTCTGGCAGCAAAGGGGATGTTGAAGTTCCCTCTATATTAAATAAAATGGCTTGACAGTTGCATACACACTTAACCACAGGTGGGGGGTTCTTCTTAATCTGGTGTCTATCATGTGATGCTTCATAAGCAAAGAATAGCAGGCCATGCTGCTTTATTCAATTGGGTTATGCTTTTACTCTTTCTTCCTGCATGTGAAAAGCATAACAGAGAACTAGCAGAGCAGAAGTAAGATGTGTTTTGTTAGTTGTCTGAAGCCCTGGGGCCCGGAACCGGATAAGTCCTGATATTATACCCTGGATTGACCAGAATAAATCCATTTTGTTTCCTCCAAACATTTAGCCATTAAAAAAAATATGAGATAGAAAAACAGACTTTGCTGTCTGCATGCCTTCTTCTAAAGCTTGTATTGTGGAAATGTCAGAATCATTAGGTCATTGGCATATATTTTGCAAGCTAATGCTTCTACTTTAATTCTCACTGGGGACTGCATGTCTGCTTTTCAAATAAAACCCAGACTGAAGAAGGTGAAGAGAGCTTAAAATGATGCTGGTAACACTCTGTGATGGCTGATAACACTTCTAGGTATGAATAATTAGGAAATATCAGTCAAGGTTGATACAACCATAGCTATTAAAGTACCAAGCCCAACAAAAATAATTGGTAAATGTTAAAATTGCCTTGTAAATATCTGTGGCTCCTTTTAAATGCACACAGAGACACGTGACTGAATAAAGTTTTAAAATAAATACAACACAAGAAATAAATGTAATATGTGAAATTGTGCACATAATAGAAGAAGCATGGAGGGTCATACTTCAGAGAAGACAAGTGGATGAATTCCCTCCTGAATCGCCAAAGACAGATGCAGAAGAAGTGGTTACGGAAACACAAGCCCCATTCCAAAAATAGCTACTCGCCTGTCAAAACATATATTGCTGATAAAATCTGGCATGAGTTGAAGAAAGAGGTTAATACTAGTAGACATAATAAAGCAAGTAGAAACACTCTCAGCTCACAACTGGATAAATAAGTCTTGAACTTGCAGCAGTTACTCTTCTGCCTGAATGCATACTCCCCCTTTCTGATACACAAACATGCTTTCTTCTGTGATAGAGCACAGAAGCGCCTCTACCCCCAAGAAAAGACAGATTCCTCCCCTTATAGTCTGGCCCTTGCAGAAGCCAACATGGCTCCTGCAGCGTTGGCACCTCTAGACTTTCTACCTTCAGTTTGGGGCTCTAATGACTCGAAATAGCCATTCAAAACCCAGCCAAAACCACCGAAAGCTACCTTGTTTTTATAGCATGGCCAGTTTAAACCGTACGAAACCACAAGTTTAGTGTGATTTTTGATACCAGTTTATAAATCAACCCAGATTTATCTAAAAACGAATTTAGAGTCAGCAGGCAAGTTAGTGGATTTGAACAAACTTTCGGACAAACAGTTTGTCAAAAGATAAAACAGTTTTTAATCTGAGTTTTAAGCAAATCCTCAAACTAAACAAATCTCATGCAAGTTTCTGTTTTCATTGTGGACATCTTGCACAGCCCTAACTAGTTGCAGATTTCTGGGTCCATTTTTATGTTTCTGATCCATATTTTGTGGTTGCATGCTCCATAACAAACCTACAGGATATATCCTGACTGACTTTCACAGGAACTTCATGTGCTGTGACACACTGGCTTAGAGTTACATTGCTCCAAAACATAGGAAAATCAGTGTGAACACTGAAAGATGCTGTTTCACCTGTGGACTATTCAGAAAGAAACATGGTTCACAGAAAAAAATGGAAAAATCTGAATTAACACAGTTTCTTTGAAATATAGTGGAAGGCAAGTAAGTTTGGAAACATTTTCAAAAAACAAATACATATTTTCACAATCCACTTTGCATATAAATTTTGTCTGGTTATTAGCTCAGTGATACATCTATTTATTCTTAACTGCTATACGAAAAGGGTTCGCCAAGTATTGGCCTCATGCATTTTCCTTTCTAGATTGAGCACAAAAGAAACTGGAACATGATTAAAATGAAGACCATATTATTGTTCCTGTGAGAATGACGGCAAAGTTTCTGTGGGTTAGAGCAAAAGAAGACACATTAGTGGATCACAGAACTAAAACTGAAGAGGAAGCCTGATCTGATTTAAGCACCAAAAAAGAAGTACACAGAAGGTGGAAGCAGAGACAAACGGCCCAGGAGGAACAGGGACACTGCTTGACCTGGCAGGGATGGGACTGGGAAAGCCAAAACTCAGCTGGAGCTGGCACTAGGAAGGGATGTGAAATACAAGAAGGATTTTTTGTAAGTATGTTGCCAGCAAACAGCATGGGCCTATTGCTCATTGGATCTAATGACAAAGAACATCTAAAAGGCTAAGTTATACGATGCCTTTTTGCCTCAGTTTTCCCTGGTAGGCTTTGCCCCTCCAGACTTCCCAGGTCTGTAAGCCTCACAGCTGAGTCCATGGGTAAGAAGCACATGAAGTACCCACAGGAGAGGAAGTTGAAGTTAGGGATCACTTAACCCACTTGGATATACAGAACTCCATGGGCCAGAGCAGATGTGTCTGAGGGTGCTGAAGGAGCAGCCCAACATCATTGTGAGGCTACTCTTTGTCCTCTTCAAAAGGTCATGGCAGTCAGTGGAGATTCCTGATCACTGGAAGGTACATACCGCACCACTCTGCGAGAAGGAGGCAAGGAGGATGGTCCATATCAATTAGCTTACTTTGGTCCCTGGAAAAGTTACGGAGCAAATCCTCATAGAAGCCATTTCCAGGCATGCGAAGAGCAATAAAGTGACCTGAAGCAGCCAGCATATATTTACCAAAGGCAAAAGATGATGACCAACCTTCTCTGGCAAGGTGACCAGCCCTGTGGACAAAAGAAGTGGAAAGGAAATGGATGTTGTATACCTTGGCTTTGGCAAAGTCAAACCCCACAACAACAGCAGACACCCCCCCCCCCCCGATTGCTCATGTGCATACTGTGAAAAGGAAAACAGGAAAATGTTGTGGGACTTTTCATATATATCTAGAACCAGTACCCGAAATACTATGTTTTTATAGGTTAGATTTTGGTGCATAAGTTATTCTCACACTCAGAGTGTGTATAGGCTACCAGTTAGCTGACGTTACAGAAATGGTTTTGAAAAGAAAAGCCTGTTATAGGAAAAAAATTGATAAAAGCTTTCTTTGATGACACTAGAATAAAATCAAAACTTTATGCGTGGATACGAACTCCATGTGAAAGTATAACAAAATCTTGAAGAAATAACATTTATAACTGTTTTCTTATAAAACATTTTCAGGAAAGGGAGTACTTACTCAAGGGGTGAAAATGCCAGATATTAGGTTGTTAAGAAAGTGAATACAGTAGGAGGACAGAAGCCATTAAAAGGTAGAAATTATATTCTCAGATGTTTTTAATGGCATAGAAAAGCTATCAATGGAATACAAAATACAGTTAACAGAACTCAATTTCCCTGTTATACATGAGCCAACACATACTTAGAAGTGTACTTAGATGAAAACTTAAGGAAGAAATTAGACTTCTTGCTCTGAGTCTAGCAGAGAGCCCTGATGCACCTTTTAGAAGGGGTCTTTACCAGCTCCAGCAAAGAAAATGGAAAATCTTTACCTACACCTGCCTCCCAAGGAGCTGAGCCAAAATCTTTCTACAGAACTCCACATATCTACCAGGAAAGGCATTTCTTAATAAATGTATTTTGCCTCCCTCCCTCTCATCTCACCCTAAGTACTTCAAATGGCTTGTGGAAAATTTCTTTAGAAGAGGAAATTGTGTCTGTGAAATTTTAACTTACGCTCTCTGAACACAGCGCTTTACCATAATTTTTAGGCTATGCTCTGCACCCATATAATTCACAAAAGGATATCCAAGCATGGGAAGATACTGAAGTTTACTGATGGTATTTTGCTGTAAGTATAAATAATGGAACTCTATCATGGGCATGGACTCAGTAGTGTAAGGTTGGAACTTAACAGACAGCGATGTAAATGTAGGGGTGAATAATTAACTTATGTAGGGAAACTAGAACTGATCTAGGGGCCCTGCTAAGCCTTGGGGGGTTATAGATGGTTATCACTATTTCTCTACTTAAAAAGGAGGAAAGTACACAGGAATGATAAATTTGGCTGAAAAAAATCTATCCAATCTGGCTGCTGTAACTCTTGATCTAAAAGCTTTATTTTGAAAAAATGGACAGTGTATGAAAGACGTTAATCACAACAACAAGCCTAAGCACAATTTATAGAGATGCCCTTCCTTTGATTTTCTGCTCTACAAAATTGGCAACTGAGCCTGCTGAGGCCTCACAACAACATTTTTGTGACAATGGGAATCACCAGACACTAGTTAATGCTGCAGGAAACCTGACTTAAGCTGGATGCTAGTGAATATGGTCAGGAAAATTAAAAGTCTCTGGTGCTTATGCATGCACAAAACAAACCCAGTTCCTCATTTGTAGAAGCAGACTGCAAACCGCTTATGACAATGATGGAGAAAAGTGTTTCACAAACACAACTTTCCTTGAAAAGGTTATTCCGTCGATTGCAGATGGATGATTTATAGCTAGAATATAAACCTGGGAAAGACCTTGTGTCAGCAGACATTCTGTCTGAGCTTTTAATGAAAGAGAGGTAGTACAAACACCAGAATCTGTTGTTGTTCATGTAAATAGGCTTGAGAATATGTCCTCGGTCTCAGGCAGGATGCGGCCTGTCACTTCAAGAGACCATAATGCAAAATTGAGAGTTTGTGAAAGGTGATACCAGTGATGAGGGTTGGCTGGCCTTCCAAACGTAAACCTACTCCTTTTAACAGCTTGGAATGAGAAATTCATGTTGCAGATGGTACTTTACTCAAAGGTTCTAGATCAGCAGCATGTAAAGTTTTAACATAGGCAATAACAAAAATAAGTACATGAAAGGTGTGTGGACACCAGAAGCTGAGAAGACTAGTTGAAAATACATGGCATTGCCTCAAAATTAATGCAGATAAAGGGACATCCCCCCAAAAAACAAACAAACAAACGTCAAAAATAGGAATACTCAAAAACTGGGGGAGAAGGAAGAAACCCTGATTGTAATTTTAAACAAAGTTAGACCTATAGGCCACATTTGGTGTATATAGGTTTATGTACATAAACGAATAACTATTAATGGTTTTGTTGTGGATTATTATTCCTAATTTCCAAAAACATCACCATTAGAGTATGCAATCATAAAATATGTGATCTCACTTAAAAAATTTCTGCATAGAACTTACCTGCCTTGAAAAACCAACGATGCTATGAATGCATTTTTGTAAATTTTAATAAATATATTCAAACAAATTAAAGCAGCAGACATACTGTGACAGTATGTCACGACTTAAAGTCTTTGTAGTCACAAAACGGCACACACAAGGTACCTGACAGAAATGCTGCTGTAAAAATCACTTGTTTCCTATAAAACAAGTTTATCAGTTTCTCTGAGAAGAGTACTAAGAACGTCCACACAAATAGCACCCATCTAGAAACTGCACAAAAGAAAGAAGAAAGACAAACATCCTGAGGCTCCAAGATTCAAACTAGAGCAGACAAGAAAAGAGAGAGGATGTCAGCCAACACTGGTTTAAGGGGCTGAACAAAACACTTTGGAGAGCTACAAGCAAATGAGTACCAGCTCAGAGCCTGATGGAAAGCTATGCAGAATTAGCTGCATTGTCACTTAATTTTTTCCCCCTCCTTCATGGAGAAATGAAAGTCATTTGTGAGATCCAGCACCTTATTTTGCCTACTTAGCTTACAGCTATTAAGGTAAGTAGACTGTCTTTGATCAGGGATCTATCTCCCTTTTTCCCAAACTCTTCCTTTGAGCAGTCAGTAGCTTACATTGAAAATGCCAGGTGGTTTGTTGGTCACCACCTGTAGACATAAGATGAGCTTCACAGAACTTACAGTTAAGGTAGACAACTATGATGATGGCAAATGGCAAAAGGGAAGAAACTGAAGAGAGAGAGACAATATTTAGAGAGAGACAAGGAGAGGGAGAAGAGACATATTAATTCCTTTATTATGTTACCAAAATTTTCTCTTTCCATCTCCTCTAGCATCTTCTTTCAAGACAGTTTAAAGAAACAGGTCATCTTCTGGGCAAAGTGAATTTTGAAAAAGAGAAGGTAAAAGGCAAGATTCATAGTGCATATATCAATTTGCTCCAAGGAAAATTGCCTTGAAACTATGGGGCGCAGTCATCCTGCAAAGTGTGCTCCTGCTTAGCTGCATTACTTATCCAGAATTGGTAAATGGTGGTAGTTCAAAATCGCTGAAGTAAATGTCTAGATTTGCAAGCGGGGACCTATGGTTTCATTATAGCCATTTGGCCTGTTTTGACCTCCCCCTAGACCTCTGCCTTGTTTTGTGCATTTAGACCTCAATGAAGGAAAATAATTTATAAATGTACTTAACTTTAAAGAGGTGATTTAAGTCTACAGACATCAATAGCAGGTAAGCACATAATTACTTATGTCTAAAATAAAGATGAGATGTGTATACTTTAAGTGCATTCCTGAAAGGATTTCTTATGGGAGATTTTTAGATCTGTTTTGCTCACCTGAAAAGAGTCTAGCACAAAGATTTCTGTAAAGAAAAAAAAGCAGAATAGTTTCCTTGGCAGGGATGATTAAGAAAGAAACAACAGTTTGATTTGCTTGGAACACAAGGTATTTGATTGTATTTTAATTTCTTCAAGCATTTGTAGTATCTATGAGAAGAGGTTTTCAAGTCAGTGTAATCTACTTTTTTGTTTTTTTCAAGTATAATGTCTATGCCTCTACTTTTGGTTCAGCCACAGTAAATAAGAGAGCTTCCTTCCCTTTTTGTAAGGCCTGTTTGATGCTGTTTCTTGATCTTGAATTAGTTGTTGACTCATATCAAATGCAAATCATCAAGCCCTTTTACAGTATGAATCATAGCTGCCCTTGGTTAAGGGGGTAAGAAGAGATGAGAAGGGAAACATTACATTTCTGGACAATGCTGATGACTGAGGGCTGGTGTGACTCATACATAAGAGGGCCGATATGCACTTTCAAGTCAACAACTTAGGAGATTAAGAAGCAAACTTCAAACGGGGTTTTCAAAGGCAGAAGAAAACAGGAACTGGAATAAGCAACAAAGTAATGCACACAGCCACATCCTGAAGTCCTCACTGATGCAAGATTCCCATTTACATTAACTTTATGGTTTGCAAGCACTAACCTTAGAGTTCATGGTTTAAGACTAATCATTAGTTAGCTGGGAGTTTCAAATAGCTGCAAGTCCACTCAGTAGAGTTTTAAAGTAATTAATTTTTGGTCAGATTTTGTTACAAGCAGAAATCCACAGAGCTGGATGTCATTCTCACCAAAAAAAAAAAAAGGTTCTTTCTCATATACATGGCATTGTTAGAAAAACTGTGGACATATCTGTGGTGCAAAGAAGAGGATATGGAGGGGGGCCTTTCCATTTGCTGAAAATTAGATGTGGAGAACAACTCACAAAGAAGGAGCAAACAAATTATTTTTGTACCCAACCTAGTTTTCCTGTATATGGGAAATGATTGTGGAATTAGAAAAATGTCCACGCATGCAGCAAAGCACCTCTCTGCTGATGAGAGAGACAGAAACATTATAAAATCAGGTAGCTAGAAGCGAACCCACTTTTGCTATTTATCATAGAAATAACTATTTCTTCACAAACACAGGGCATAATTTTTCTTCAGTTCACTAAAAACTGAAAGATATTTTTTGTTATTCCTTTAAAGACTGTTTCGGGGAGGGTGTTGTTTTATTTAATCAAAGCTTGTTCCATGCATTACACTCCAACCTACCGCATACATTACTGCACATGAGCTTCTTTTGTGTTTGGCTACACCAGATTAAATTGCAGAACCTATGCTACTCACTTCAGAGGACAAGGAATCAACATGTCTTTTGTGTATGAGCAAGATTCTGTCTTAATCCCATAATAATTTTCTAATTCCTTTCATATTCTTGTCACTGGTGCTTAAGACAAAAACTTGGCAAAAGGGCTTTGAAACAAAGTCAAGGTATTGCTCAACTAGTTAAAAAGAGCAAGGAAGAAGAGATACATGTATTTTTAGAGCTGCAACTGAACAAATACTTTTATTTTAAAGAGTTCAGATGACTTGGTTAAGAGCATTTTGGATTAAAGGACAAACACTATTAGGATTACTTGGCAATTACACTGTGGTAATCAGCCAATGATCCTGCACAGAGATATCCTACTTCTATCTCTTTTACCCAAAGGAGGGCATTGTACTGAACACTGATGATCCAACCAGTGCCTGCTCTCAGCTGGGGGCTGTCCATCAACCCTTCTCCAAAATCTCTGGCTGAAACTTCACCCTCCTTGTCCTCATCAGGCTTTCCAGAAGGTGGAGATCCATAGTGGGGCTTGGAGTTGCACCATCTCTGGGCTTCACCTGCCATCCTTCCCACTCCTCTAGACAGAATCAACCAACTCTACTAAGCCACATGTTCTGATATGACAGATTAAACACCAAGAATGAGGAAATCAAACAGCACATGAAATCCACCAGGCAAGTTTGCTGGATAAATATTTCCGATTAACTCTGCAGCTGGGGCCAAGTTCACTCTGAAGCTGGCTCTGCAACCAGAAATCTTGCAGTCAGCCAGACGGGTTTCATGTGTTTGTGCTGTGCTGCATGCAGTCTGGCAGTGGAGAAGCTAGTCTTGGGGAAAGGACATGGTGGGAGGATCACAAAACTGGGGGTAGTGTGTGCTTCAGGGCTGGTACTCATCTTTTTTTGGTCACCATTTTAGCAAGGCAAGGCAATAGGATTTAGGTGCCATGCTCCCTTGGGCACCTCTGGAAGTGCAGGTGGTACCCAGGGATCACAACACAGATATGCTCCTGTTGCTTCCTATTCTGAGCGGACCTTCTGCCTCAGCCCAGTATTTCTAGGACGGTTTCATGTTCATTGAGCATGGACAACACAGGAACTAAACCATCTGCCTGACTTCCAATGTTAATAAGCTTAAAATCTTCTGTCTGTCAGAACCACTCTTGAAGACAAGTCAAGCACTCACAACACATTGCTCCTTTAAACCAATGTCAGATTTCTGTCTTGCCAGACCTTCAGTAACTGCAGCTTTCAGGTTTTGGCTAGCACTGAAACAATTTCTGTAAAATATACCACAGACAGATAGCTTCACATTTGAAAATATTAGCATGAATAACAATATGTTTGATATGAACTCAACCAGTTATTCATTGGTTAAAAGAGTAAAGCCTCTAAGAAATATTTGAGAGAATATGCCCACAGAAGGGACCAGTTTGCATTTGTGGTGTTTATTCTTGTCTGCTTAAAAAGAAAATAGAAAATCGGGTTGACTAGGTTTTCCATTTTAATGCAGCTTTCTAGCTATCATGATTTCAAGCTGCTGATTACACATCGGTGGTGTGATAGTCAAGTGATGAAAATTTGAGGCTTGTGATACAGAATACTTACAGTTTTGCACAGTTTGCAACATTTTCCAATGAGCAATGCTATGCCAGATTTACAATGAGATTTACAAAAAAGAACCATAAAGTTAGGACCCCAAATTCCCACTTGCAAAGAAACAGGCACAAAGAACAGCACACCCACTACCCAGTATCTCCTGTGCTCCTCAGATCAACTTCTGATGGAACTGGCGTGTACTCATTGCTCATTTAAGTAAACTCATGTATCGGGATTTCTGCTATAAATTCCTCTTTTAAAACATTGATTCAAATATTTCAACATGTACATGGAAATGCTGGAGGAATAAACACCCCATCAATGTTTACCTTAAAAAAAAAATAAATGTATTTTGGCATATTTTACATAGCAGTGTTTTCTATTTCTTCAACCAAAATAAGATTAAAAAATTCCCCTGCAGTAGCACACAGTCCTTCCTTTCTTCCTTCCTGCCTGCCTGCCTGCCTCCCTTCTACCTTCCTCTGCCCTTCCTCCCCCTTCTTTATATCATAGCTGGGTAGATATTTATTAAGGGCATCTAATGGCTCTTTACTCTTCCCTTCCTCCACCTGCAGCAGCTGCTGCAGTGCATTGCATTGGCTCTTGGATCTGGCTCTTGGATTGCTGTGTGGCCAGATCCAGGCTTCAGATGCAATTGGGTGTATGGCATCTGCAAGCCCTGACAAGCAGCCACTGCCCTGCCCATGTGAGTTGGACACATCCACAACTCATGGGCTCACTACAGGATCCTGGTTACCCCATATTCACTATTTGTGACCCACGCCTGCAGATGAAAACTCCTGAATGTTAAACAGGGCTGCTTGCAGCCATATTCAGGCAGCCATATGCAACTGGTTAACAGAGAAGAGCATTTAATATCAATATCCCTTGCTCAGGCCGTTCCAGCCTAGATTTCAGATTCATTCACAGTGAGCTCCAGTACGGTCCTGCATTTGTCCACCTGAGATGCTATCACTGTTACTTGAGACAGGGATCCCACTGCATTAGGCCAAGGGCACATACACAGAAACAGCAGCAAGAAGCAGCAGTGCTCCAAAAAGCCAGCAGCCTGAACATTAGGAGGAGAGGTGGGAAGACAAACAGACACCATAGACAGAACAATGCTCTGAAAGGCTGAAGTAGCTTAGGAGCAGAAATCTCACTTACTTTCAACAGTGCTGCTGAAAACTGCATCCAAATTGACTGCTCCAAGATCACATAGGAAGTCAGCAGAGAAGCTGATAAGAGTCCAGTACCCACAGGACCCCAAAGCTCCTGCAGAAGGGCTGGAGACAGACTTCAGACAGTATAGACAACCATACTGTGAGATTAGATTCGAGTCAGGAAAAAAGTTAAATAGTCCAGCAGTGCTGCTGAAAACAAGCAATATGGCACTGGCGCAAATGCTAGTCTCAGCATCCAAACCACTGAAAAGAAAACCATGGCAGCAAGGCTTGCAGAAGAAAGGGCTCAAAACCTCACAAACAGCTATGAGGGAGGGGGAAAAGGATCTGCAAACTCTGCAATCATCCATACAAAACTGCATCAAGATGTATGGGTAGTGAGATCCTCATGGTGTGATGAACAATACACACCCCTGGCTCATGACTTAGTGCAGGCTTAACATGAGAGAACTGCAACTGGGAAAGAAAATGAATGTAACCAGAAGAAATTGGAAAATGGACGAAGCGCTAAGGGGGAGGGAACAAACCCAAATCCTTCATTTCACTCATGCAAGCAATAGTAAGTCCCAAATTTAAGCAGCAACTTTGAATTCTGGTTTGAGTTTGGCTTTTCTGTTTATGTGGGCATTTTTTTTTTTTTTTTTTTTTAGTATTTTTTATTCTAATACTTTGCCAGCAATAGCAAACCACTGGCTGCAAGAGATGGATGTCCAGGTAAGTAATGAGGTGGTAAAACAAGAGATCCTAATGCCTCAGACACCTACTCTGCCAAAGGGGAGGCCTGGCTCTAAAGTGCTGAAGAACAACAACGTGGAGGCAAATCAGTCCTAGCCTTCATCAGTCAGTGGGTTAAGCACAGTCCAGTGAAGCGATAAAGACTTTTCTAGACATCCCCAAAAGATCACGCAGTGGAAAGGTTCATGTTGTGCTTGGAGAAGGAATGCAGTGCTGCTGACAATATCCAGTTTGCTGCCCAGGTACACCACACACCTGCAACTGTGCAGTCCCACATTGTCTCTCCATGACAAAGGGGACCCTGCCCACCTGAGACCCAGTGGCTTGATACACTGCCAAGTATGACTGGAAAGGCTCTCTGCAGACCAGAGTTGTGAGTTCCACTCATGGCTGCTCCCAGGATAAGTCACTAAGAGCTCTGTAGACACTACCATGCGGCAGCACTGCATGAGAAGAGGACATCTGAAACTCCATGCATACACTGCAGAAATTTGCTTTACCTTTAACCTGCATCATCTCAATGAAGCCATGTACTATATTCATGTTCTGGGCAGTGTTTATTACAAAGGCTTTTTGCATGTGTTTCTGCAGCAGTCCCTTTCCCCTTCACAGATGTAAAGTTTAGGTCTTCTTCTCTCCTGGTAACAGTCTGGGCTTATTTATTCCCCTGGAAAGAAGTGTAAGGGAAACAAATATCCTTCGGCTCTCAAAATCAAGCTTATGAGAGGTTTAGGATAAACAGGCTTTGCGAAAAATCTCTATACAGATGAGCATTTCACAAAGAGAAGTCCTTAGCTGTACCATGAGCTCCACGCAATAGTAGGCATCACTGCTTTTCACATTAAACAAATCTGCCCTTGAGGTTTGGGAGGGAAAGAGGGCTGGGGCCTTAGTTGTGGGGTTTTTAGCACCTAGGTGACTCTAGATGACTTCCCACTGCAAACTGGGGCTCATACTGGTTGTTACGCCTTACACTACCATGACTTTGGTAGTATCAGTCACACACAATGCCAGAGTTCAAAAAGTCTAGTGATGAAAGAGACTACACAAGTGATGTCTTACTGATGCATTAACCAGAGAAGCATGACACTGAGATGGGCCTCCCCAGACTCTTATCTTAAGCACCCTAAAAATACTTGTAAGACTTTTAAACTGAAATGTTATGTTCATTGCCTCCACGACCTTGCCCTGCAAAAAGTCTTCAAAGTGAGACAGAATAAGTAGATTAAAAGCAGTTAATTCCCCATCTGAACCCTGTGTTGTTGCAAGGTGCATCTTTTGGGGTTTGCTTGCTTTTACCATCACAATTCTGTTTACAGTGAGGTAGAACCTATCTGCCTCACAACAGTCTCAGCACATCCTGAAGTCCCTCAGCATGCATCTTCCCCTTCTCAGAAGCCACACACTCCCTGCTGCTTTACAAGTCCCTTTCTGGTGCTGCTTTTTCTACCCCTTGGCTGGCACTTTGGACTTTGTAGAACGCAGGCTGCTGTCCTGGGAATTCTATGGGAAGGATAAAAAAAGACAACAACCTGCTATATTGTTGTAAAAGATGATTCACAAGACTTGCAGGTAACAAAGTACAGAATAACCATTGCCCTCCTTAAAAATTAAAGACCAACTAGCAACTTTAAACAAAATAAAGAAAAAGCACAATTTAGTCACTTTCCTAAGTGAGTAAGTGCAAAAAAATTGCAAAGCAGGGTGCTGCATGAGAAGGTTGACTCAAAAGCTGAATTTCAAATTCAAGAGAAAGCTCCCCTTGCCTAGTGACAACGAAGGGCATGGTGAATTTAGCAAACATCTACATGTGTTGGCAATATCGGGAAAAGCAAGTGGACAGCAGAAGGCATGAACATGGAGATTTCCCTGAGCTGACCTGAGCCAGAGCTTTCAGAAAATGGGGTAAAGAAATGTCGACCTCCTCTGGTGTTGGCAGCAGTCTCTCCAATACAGCCTTGCACTAAAGAATATTCCCGACTTGCACCACCAGTTTCTCCTCTCCATATAAATGTTCACACAGTCATAGCATTAGCTCCACTAAGCTACACGGAAACACTCAGAATTAATGTTCTCTAAGTTGTCCTGTTAAAAAGATCCACAACTACTAATTTTATTAATTAAGTTTCCAGCTATGTTACAGCCTGTTATTCTTGCTGCCTCTTGTTCAGTCACCTACCTGATGGCAATGTTCAATGGGAAACGTTCTTTTCTTTTCATTAATGGTAGGTATGTTCCCTTGAAAACTCCAGTCCTGCAATTTGTTTTTGCTTCATGCATGCCAGCTCTCAGGAAGAGAGGTTGGGGGACAACCTTGCTGTGGGAAAGACAGGTTGTTTTTTCTAAGAGATGTTTAGAGCCTAGGGAAAGTGAGTTGAAGAAGCATACAATCAGCAGGGAGAATAATTCAAAATAAGGGAGCATTTAAAATCCTTTCTTTGGCTAACACTGGCAGTAAACATCTCACTTGAAATACTGCAAGGCAATTCAGCTTGCCTGCATGGGAGAGCAATGGCAGAGCAGGAAACTAAATCCAGTAATTAACAGTGAGATTTTAGCTCTGACAACATAAACATAGCACAGCACAAAGAACTTTCTAATATTTTGCATTTCTCTATAAGAATCAGGGCAGAATTTAAAATAATGCAGTGGAGTTGGGTGAAAATCATTCAACGGCAGCTCCTAGCAAGGATCCTCTGATACTCTTTTTGGAACTCTGTGGACACACGTGTCTACATGAGTAGGTCATGTTCTGCAAAACTGGTGCCTGATGTCCTGGCTGAAAGAATTCAGAATTACTGCTTATGCAAAGAGTGATCTGAGGTAGATACAAGAGAAGGACAATGAAAAGGATACAGGACTTGCCTGATCATTCAACCGTAAGGGTGTGCTGAAAGATTTCTTTCTGAGCCTTCCCCGGCACAACCCCAAAGAGCAAGATACTGCAATGGGTCTACAGAAGCCTGATTACTGTGCACACCGTGCACCACCTTGGCAATGAAGTCATTCAGTAGTCTGACTAAAATAACATCTTCTAATTCTTTTTTTGTTGTAATTTACAGTCTCTCTCCTTTGGCTGAACCTGCCAGCCATCCTGGAGGTGAACAGAGAATGTGCTAAAGTTGCCAATTTTGGGGCCTGGTGTGAGAGAAAGCTTTTATTCCAGAGGTTGTATTTACTCTGGAGACAGTTAATCAAAGCTTTGCAGAGCATTGTAATTCTTCTGTTCCTTTCATATGGGTATGAACTCTCGGCGACTGATCCCTGCAACTCTCAAATCCCCACAATAAGCTCACTCCAACGTATCTTACAGTAGGTCTGATTAAGAAAGATCCAAGCTTTTTCAAAATGGCTTTGAATAATTAAATTACATCACTTGTGTTGTTGGATTTCATATTGGCACCATGGGCACCAGCTAACACATCTGAAATGAGTTTCAGGACTCTTTCAGCAGGACATTTAATGCTCAGCCCAAAAGAGGACTTAGATGGAGCCAGTTCCATCGAGGAAGTGAACATTTGGGACAATATAGTCAATATGTCTTAAAGTAAAATCAATGGACAAGCCACACGGAGGCATCCAAAAGGAGTGGGTGATAAAGGTGTGTGTCTCAGATCTGATTTTCTCAATTTGCTGTAAATGCTCTTCTAATAATCCATGTTGCCTCTGACCATACATGAAGACTACATGTACAGAATCAATGCCTGGTAAGTAATTTGTCTTTCATTTAAAAGTCACATGGAAAACTCTCTAAAGTACTCTGGTGACACCAGTAGACACTTTCTATTTTCAGGTACAGCTGAAAAAAACGATAAATCATTTCAAACAGCTAGGTTCTTGATTTGGTCTTACAGCAAGTCTGGAGTCTATGGCAAAGAAAACTACACTGGAGCTACTTGTGCTATTGAGACTGGCAAATTTAGTTGAAAGTTTTGTTTCAAAGCACAACATTCTCTTTTCATCTTGGAATTACATAGGGAAGAAACTTTCTTGATAAAAGAAACTGTGTGTTACTTAACATGCAAATATTATGAGCCTCTTTTGAAATACAGATACTTGAATAAACAGATTCATAAAGCCAGTAAAGGGTTTTTTTTTAGTATGGACATGGATGCCAGTTATCCTAGATAAACATTAAATATGAAGGTCACTAATTTATTTTTAAACTGTTATTTATTTTTTAAATGATTCCATTACACAAATGCAAACAAAGCACACCAGAAACAGAGTGCTCCGAGACAACTCCCCTGAGCACTGCCTGTGTGCACATAACAAGCCCAGAATATGCCTTATGGGCAGTGAACTCCAGATAATTTCAGCCTATCATCTCCTTGGAGAGGATGCTGCTGCATCTGGGTTCTGGGTGG